TTGTTCAACACCGTCTAGTCTAGTGGTCAGAGTTCCTGCCTACAGTTCCAGAGGTCCGGGATCGATTCCCGGCGCTACCAGATTTTCTGAGAAGTAGTGGGTCTGAAGCGGGGATCTACTCAGCCTCGCGAGGATAACTGAGGAGCTATTTCAAGGAAATAGCGGCTCCTGTCTTGAAAACCGAAGTTAACGGCCGTGGGGATCCGTTGCGCTGACCACGCGACACCCTCTATCCTCAAAAGTTGGCACTAACTTTGCCGACAAGCGGCGGTCGCTCGGTCGGTATAGTTCGCTTGCAGACTAAAACCACGAAGTTTAGTTTCGTTTTATTTATTGTTCAGACAAAGTCCAGCTTTCCGAGCCGTGTAGGACACAAGGTACGGTTAGGATTTTATAAAATATTGACGAGTGTTTCCTTTTGGAACTTTCCTAAAAGCGCAAGTTTATTATTCTTTTAAGAAGCTAAAAGTTGTGCAGTTTGGATTCTATATCTTCGTTTTTCTTATCAAATTTAGCTGGAATCTTACATTGATGAAAGTTTAGATAAGGGGCTTTTGTTAAGTCAGTCACGATAGTAGACAAATCAGTTTAAAATGTTAGCCTTTCCCATACGAAGCAACTGATAGGCTGACGGACTCGCTGAGTAGTCTGTCGACTGAATTACTGAATTATTAGTCACTCGACCGATTCACTAAACAAATTACCCGCTAAGTGACTGGTCGAGAGGAAGATCGACTGGTTTACTGACTGACCAGGTGACTCCGACTCAGTGACTGCTGCACGGCTGACCGGTTGACTAAGTGACTGATTGGCAGGCTGTTCGGCTGATTGTCTGAATGACTAAACGGGTGCTTAAATGGTCGCACGATTGACTAAATGAATGAACGTTTTTTTGGTCAATCTCTTCCAGCCTATTCAGGGCCCTGGCCTCATATACAGTTCCGTAATCATTTTTCACAGACGGTAGGAATCCTTGGATGGGGGATCAGCTCGACGCAAGGCCTCTGCCTAAACACAGAACAACACAAACACAGAATAAACGCACACAGACATCCATGCCTTGAGTGGGATTCGAACCCACGATTCCAGAGTCCGAGCGAGCGAAGACAATCCATGCTTTAGACCTCGTGGCTACTGTGACCGGCTGAATGAATGAATTAGGTTTAATTAATGGAAATAAACGAATCATTTACTATAGAATGTTCGTCACCGGCATAAGAAGACAGTCTGTGTCCCGTTAAGGCTTCTATATTCACAATATCACATAGAATACACCAATGCTCCGATCGGGAATTGAACCAGAGATTCCTGTACGGGCCTATTGATTGCTATGACCGCGCGACTGTCGGGAACAGCCATGAAAAAATTACTGCAGTCCGTCAATAATGCAACAAATTGTTCCTTTTTCGTCCACTTTTATTTTTAATCCAACATGTTTCGACCCTAAATGGCCATATTCAGGTGTCTTGTCTCAAAACTGCCACACTGCATTAATATGCGTTTGAATCACATGTTATAGTCCACTTAATATAATAAAACAAAATCATTAAAATTTTCTATTAAAATTACCATTACTTTTGTGAAATTCTATTCCATCTCACAATGGGCGTCTTCCACTTGTTTGGAACTACAGGTTCATCTTTTACATCGTGTGACTTTAGCGGATATTAATGCAATGTAGCAGTTTTAATATATTAAGACACCTGAAGATGGCCATCTAGGGCCGAAACATATTGTTTTAAAAGTGTAAGTGAAAGAGAAGGAACAATGTGTTGCATTATTGACGGACTATGTTATACATAGACGTTTTACTGCAGACTGTCAGGACGTCTCCAACCACGAACTGCTCATTAGCAAACAGAAAGGAAACTGAAATGTACGCTTGGCTGCAACTAAAACCGCACTGGGTTAGTTGAGGTAATTTTCATGACATATTTTTAACAAGGGCAAGGTATGCAGCACGAATGGGGGAGAAGAGGAATGCGTATAGGATATTGGTGGGAAAGCCAGAGGGAAAGAGACCACTGGGAAGATCAAGATGTAGATGGGTGGACAATATTAAAATGGATCTTAGAGAGGTAGGATGGGATGGTATGGATTGGGCTGATCTGGCTCAGGATAGGGACCAGTGGAGGGCTCTTGTGAACACGGTAATGAACCTTCGGGTTCCATAAAATGCTGGGAAGTTCTTGAGTAGCTGCACAATTGGCGGCTTCTCAAGAAGGGCTCAGCTCCATGAGTGTTAATGATATTTTTAACAAAATATAAGGTGAATATCGATTTAAATTTGACCGTAAATGTAACCGCGTCTCTCTGCGCACATTTTGCCTTCTAAAAAATTGTAATAATGGCTGACAAAATAGAGCGCGATTTACAGCGGTGTCACGTGACTGGTAATGCACCACTAAACCTTATGTCGCATGCGAATGGGGAGAACAGTATCGAATCACGCAAGGGGGAAAAGGTAGCCGCTCTTTCTAATAGCACCATTAAAGTGAAAGTGGATTCTTTAAAAAAAACACGCCACATATATCAGGACAAGAGACTTTAGACCAGTTTTGCCCTACTTTCCATATTTCGATAAAGATAAAAGTAGGCTTATGTGATCACAATGCTATCTGTGTGTTTCTGTACATGCCCCGGCCATCAACATTTGAATGCCTGAACCAGTATTTATGAAATTTCTTGTGTATATCATGACGCCTTGAGCCCATCTTAACCGCGCACTCGTAAATTCGTTCCATTAATCTGTGTGTCTGTATGTGTAACCCCTTTTCTTTGCAAGGCAACGGCTAAGCTATTACGTTACCGCTGCAAAGAATACATACGCAACAACAAAACAATTGTTGGACACTTTGTTTTCTGTACATTCCGTGTCATATAAAAGGCGAGTCTGTGGGTCTGTCTGTGTATCCCCATAGCATTGCTAGGTAACGACTCGGTAAACACGTTCCCGCGGCAATGAGGAATTATTGGAGGCGTCGTATGAAAGGAAAGTAGGCGATTAGTTCTTCGCATAACTTATTGTTCATCTGTCCGATTTTGCATTAAATAATTCAACTCTGAAATAATATATTTCTTTATAAAATCTAACATCAGGATTTCGATGTCCCTTTTAAAATTCATAAACTAAATGTTATGATGTAAATGATATTTATTAGCATATAAAAAGTAAAAATTCAACAATTATAAGTAATTCAATATTTAATAAAAAAATATTTTGCCTTTACATGTCTCGGCCACTAGTGGCCACCTTCAGAAGACGAGCCAACATTATAAAGCAAATACTTCACACTCGTTGTTTATGAAGATAAATTGATTACGAGTGCTCTTTAAAAAAAGTCTCGGTTTCGTTTTATCCAGTGGCAGTAGAACCGACAATAGCGCAGAGAGAGGTTTTGTCCATCTTTGTGTCCCTTCTAATGTTCATTTTCCAAAATCACTGAAAGGATTTCGAAAGTTGACATTCGATGTCCACACCAATAACTTTCACACCAACTCAAGATTGGTTCATTTGTAGGAGCAGTTTATTCAACGAACTTTTGACTTATTGGCAGATTTTAAACTTACAGGGATCTTGGTTCGTTTAACGACACTTTTTCAAACTAATCTGCTCTAAACATCGCCGTAGTTGATACATCATTTTTAAATAATCTGTCATTTATTCAATACAACGGTTGTGTCAATTATATAACGTTGAATGGAAGGATAATTATGAATTCGCAAAACTGTGCGAGAAGGTGGCCATGACCTATTGTAAGGTGTTATCCTAGAATGTTTTTAGAGAGAGTGAGTGACAGCTCAGTCAGAAAAACATATTTCCGGGGCGAGATTCGAACACAGGGGGTCCAAAATACAAAGTAGGGGGGGAGGGGAGGGCTGACCACTCAACAGCGACGATGATATTAAAGAAACTATACATGTCATTTCTAAGATACTTCAGTCAGTTCTAAAGAAAATAATATTTACAGGCCTAAGAATTTGGGCCTGCAAGGAAATGTTCTTGACTACAAGTTTAGGAATCTTTAAAATATATACACGTCATGTCTTATGCGATATTTTCACGAAATTTGCCGGTTTTTAAAAGTTCGCAATCGAATACGTTGTTCAAACTCCAGCGACCGCCATGCAATCTAGCGGATATGGATCTGCAGTTCACGTACCTCACAAAAGGAAGGTACTCTGGAAGAGCGAAGCACTCTTTATCTTAATGTACTCATAAGGGTTTATTTGCCTCTTCTATGTTACCTCAGCTCTACGTTACGTCCATTGTAGAAATAAACAAGAGAGGCGAATGTTACGCTTTCTTCTGGCTCCATTGCAGACAAAAAACTACGCACCGCATTCTGCAACTGTGTGGTGTCCTCAGCAACGGACGTGCTTTGTGCGCTCGTGTGGCCCCAGCCTAATCTCGCTTTGTACCTATATATATGTGTGTGTGTTTTTGTATTGACTGTTTCTTATAGTGCATTCTGGGTTTAGAATGCTGTTGGTTGAGGCACTATGCTACAAGCCAGAAGGTCCTTCCAGCCGCACTATGACCCTGGGTTCGACTCAGCCTTTAACAGAAATGAGTACCAGGAATCTTCCTGTGGGATAAAGAGCGGCCGGCGCGTAAGGCTGACAACCTCACCGCCATCTGTGAGCCGATTGCCTACAAAATGTGGGATCCTCGACGTCTCACATCTCTATGGGCCTCCACGGCCTGTTGCAGAGATAGCTGTATATTTTTATATTTGTATAGTAGACGAGCGGTAATTTAGTGCAAGGTATATGCTACTTGGGGATTAAACAACGCCATAATTGTCAGTTACAGATTTTTCAGAGTAATAATCTTATAATAATTTATAGATTTTTTTTTTCCATTCAGGAATAGAAGGCATTGCAGTTTCCATGACGTCTCGCAACGGCAGACGAGTCGCCACTATTTACAATAACCATTGAAAATGAAATCTGGAACCACTACCACGATTCAGCCATGTGTTACGTACATGTTGCAGTGTGCCGCCGGGCTATGTCTACCCGTCGCCCTACCTGACGACCGCACCTAGCGGGATCGTCCCCTTGCCACCAGCGCCGGTTTCCCATGCAGCAGCGCTGGCCGCCGCAGCAGCTGCGACCTCCCAGTTCTACGAGTACCAAAACGCGGCAGCTGCAGCTGCGGTTACGTACCCGGGACAGTACCCCAATGGCTTCGAGACGTACCCTTACACGACCGCTGCAGGTGAGTATCTTTTCTTTCCATGATTTATTCTGACCGTCTTACAGTGCATACATTTATTCACCTTACTCTTCTCTCTTGCACTACATGTTTCGGCACTAAAGTGCCATCTTCAGGTGCTTTTCGATGTACGTCGAACTACTGCAATACATGCCCTGTTGTCTTTATACCAAAATAACTAAAATATATATTCGTCATATATATTGCTAAATTTTAAATATTAAAAATGTTAAAACTGTTCAGGATTTGTTATCCTTATGTCGTATTTCAGTACGCGAGTCACACCTATCTTCTTCTGTCGGAGTATTCTTCCTACTTTCATGTGTATTGTGCTTTGTGTTGTGTCTTACTCCTGTGACTGCGTATGTTATACTGCTTTTCTTTCTTTCGTTCATATTTCTGTATCCCTTAAAGTAGAAATAATTATGTAAAAAATGAAAAAAAAAAAGCGAAAAAGGAAAGAGGCTAAGCAGAACACTAATGCAATTTTCGGGATAATATAATTACCCAGACACTATTGAAGTTTTTGTTTTTAGAGTAAACTAAAGAAAGCACAACAAATAAGTACCCAGTTTTTAGAAATTTCCAGGCCATCTTTCAGGAAAGTGTGGGTACGAAATAATAGTATTGTCATCAGGGGTGTGACGTCACGTAGTCAGATTTATCGACGTCTCAGTGGAATGCATTGCTTCTATCTTCAGGGTCGAGAATTAAGTCAAGCAAGCAACAAGAAAGCAAAAACTTTAAATCAAACATGTTACGAAATGTTCCATGAGCCAGGACAGCTTAATCAGCAAATTCATTGACTATTAGTGGGACTATAGGGCTTCGATTTTGAGCAGGGAAAGGAACTTTTTGTCTTCACCACTACGAACGACTAGCCCAGCTCTTAGGAGGTCACTTTGCCTCCTATCCACTGGTTGCCAGGGGCAAAGTGACCGGAATATAAAACTTTCGACGCGCTTCGATCCTCATCATGACTCCCAGGTTCGTGCTACCTGCCACACAATGGTACGGTGGGTGTGAACGATCACTTCCAAAAGAAATGGTAATTAAGTCAATATGCACGCATTCTTCACAGGAGACTGAAAAAGAAAACACGAAAACTGTCTGGATAGCAGGATTACGGATGGTTTCAAGAACTAAAACACACCATGCCGAAAGGAAATTATCTAAAAATGAGTTCGCAACTAACTAAAATACCATTTTTGGGTATGAGGATCTTTCAGACGCTCTTAGTGGACATACTACGAAGCGTCGAATGGTAGGATGGGAGGTGGATGATGAAATGTAAAGGATCTGGAAGGAAACCATCGTAGCCTAATCGAGGTAATACCTTGATACATTCATGGAGAGTCTGAGGAAGACCATGAGAAACCTTAGGCAGGATATCCGATGTCCCGGACGAGAGTCAAACCGAACACTTCCCAAATACAAGTTCAGAGCGTTCGGTAAATTGAGGCGTCCCAGTCCCACAAAAATGTTCAGATTTGCCTATTTATTTAAACTGTTGCTCCTGCAGGTGCTGCTAGTTATGTGACTCCGTACACATACGCGACGCTGCCTCAAACGGCAGGACTCCCCACGGCTGCTGCTGGGGGATTCCCAGGCTTGTCCCCCTACCAAACAGCTGCTCAGGCCGCCTCACTTCAGGAAGCACGCATGCAGTAACGGTGCATCCACACTTAGGAGAATGTAAGAATTATTATTATTATTATTATTATTATTATTATTATTATTATTATTATTGCTATTCTGTACAGTAATAACTATGCAGGAGTTTTTAAATTACCCAGCATCAGTTATCCTATACGAACTTTTATATTTGTATTAAATCTTCACAGGCAAATTAAATTTGATTATAAGTAAATCTGTTATGGATAACAAATATCTATAATCGAATTAATTCATAAATATGAATATATTGTTTGAGCTATGTGGACATAATTCACAATATTGTTCAGCTCTTCTAATATAAACGGAAGACAATGGGCCTCATTCTTTATGGTATCTATGTGACATGCCTAAATAACGCTAAATTTATGTTAGCAAATACGTGTAATTCGTAGACAGACAGTTTAACCCTTTGAAATGTGATGCTCATATAAATAATATTTAAAATTCTGATTCATGTCTCCATGAAACCCCAACACATTACAAAACTTGGTCAATAAAATGGTGTTCAGGAAAACAATTTAATTTAATTCTGACAACTACAATAAACACATTTTGCTGAAGAAAATTCCGAATTACTTCGGGCCGATAGTTCATATAGTTACCATTATGCTACAGACAGAAAACACGTCTCTTTTAGTTATCCCATTACCTGAATTTAAGAACTTAGAGGAAACAGATTATAATTATCAATTCCTGTTTCAATTCCATGTAGAAAGATCAGTTTGAGTCCTTAGGGACTCACACTTTAAGTTATGGTTAACTCATTATTAGTGGTATTTTGAATTCTAATCTCGCAGTAATACGGAAAATCTGTATGGAAATTTAAATGTTTGGCTTTTTTCGAAACTTAAGTAATTTACTCCTTAATAATCTTCAGTTAAATGATGTGTACATTAAATACTTTCATATGCTGTGAATCAAATATGGAAGACAGCTATCAGAAAATTTTAAGTTGTATCTCATTTATGACAAATTACTATTATCTTTATGAACACGAAAGTTTTTAACACAATTTGAAATCATTTGATGATACGTTACATCTGTGTTGTTGGCAAAATATGTAAATATACAGATATTTATATAAACACTTATTTTTTAATAGTATGGTCACGTTCTTCTTGAAAACAAGATAACAGTTTCTTTCATTCTAAAACAAATTTGAAATACTTGCAAATATTTCCTATTTTTTGCGATACTTTTACCTAATAAGAATATCTAGAAATGTGCTTCTACATTCTCTCTACCAAACGGCAGCTTCTGTTAATAGAAATTATATATTGTTGGAAGGAATATGTAAAGTGAACACAATTTTCAAACAAAAGTAATTACTTTATCTGACAGAAGTTCAATTCTCACTTTTCATATATACTTGTAAGAGCATGTTAGATATAGATGATGAATAGAAATTATTTAAATGTATTTTTCTTTCGTATGAAATACCTCAGTGTAAGATCATAAGTTTGAAAAAAATAGTTCCCCAGAGTATGAAAAGTTTTAACCTTTCACATTAATTTTCATTGCTTATTTCCATTTTTATTATTTAATTCGTGTTTTATAAATTTTTTACTTTATTTTTTACTTTGTATTGAATGTACGAGTATATACGACCATACTAAATTTGTACAATGTGGACATATAAATTTTCACTTTGAAATAAAAAAAATTAACATAAGTGAATATCATAAAGATTTCTGATGTTTTGTACAGTTAAACTGTTTACTTCGGTTGTGTATTTGTGGAAGAGTAATTCATATGAACTAATATTTAGTCTTCATTGTATTATGCAAAGTATGACAACATGTTTATCTCAAATTCTGAGAAGAAAATGAATTTGATATGCCTAACCTCATACAAGTGGTGCCTGAAGGATTCCAGTTCTTCTGTTTTCATAACCACATGCAATGCTGAACAGAAAACATAAATAAAAATGTACTAGTTCAGTCATTTTTAAAATGAAAATGTGTGAAATACTGATTCTGTATGAATCTTTTTTATAAATATATTGCCATTGAAGAGGCAAAGGAAAATTGTATAATCCTTGAATTTAATTTATTAATGAACTTTTCACTATTAATTTCATGGCAGCCAGAAATTGACTGCAAATGTCATCAATAATTTTGCTGAAAATGCAGTCTTCAGCAGAATAGCTTCTTAATTGTATGTTTATTATACAATGGATATATGATATTTACAACCAATATCTTAACAGCATATCTGAATCAGTTTTATTATGAACTTACAGAGATCATGTATGAAAGTCTATACTGATTGTATTGTTATCTTGTTTATTTTTGTTGATATGCCAAATGTTGGTACTATAAAAGCAAAATAATTCTAGTCTCTTATTTTAAGAAAGGTATGGTGAATATAAAAACCATTCAATATAGAACATTTTATTAATATCATGAATCATGATTTAGCTGCATACATATGTGTAATTTATAAAGCAATATTTATGCAGTATATAGTTAATTTAGTAATAGAACTTTCATATTTAAAAATAGATTTAGGGTGCACACTGCTAATGGAGTTAACAAAATAAATCATTCCAGTCTCTGGAATTCTGTTTACTAGTGCATCAAAGAGAAATAACAAAATATTTGAAGATTATTAGGCAAAGAATAATATATATGACACATGTTTATGCATGGGAAAACCTGTCAATTAATGTTAGGATTGGAAAATATTAAATTCATTTTGTATTTTTAACTGCTTAGTTTATTAAAATATTTCAGTTATTCTTAAGACATATAAAATTTGAATGTAGTCATTGATAGCTGGAACAGTAAATATTTAACTTTAATTATATTTATATATTTGCACAATGTGTACATATATATTTACTAATATTTTCAAAATATGTCATGTAAATGATATGTTTATATAAGGTGGAATATTCTGGCCCTAGTAATAACTTTATGAGAAGTATATTGTTACAGGTCTAAGTCTTAAACTGTAAAACAAATACTTTGTATTTGAATACTGATACTAGTTATACGATAAGTAGGTAGTGTCTTGTAATTCAATTTTTATAAATAGATTTTCTTCCTACAAGACATGGTTCTTTCAATTATATAAGTTAGTTTCTTGGTCTAGATTTTAATTGAAGGTGAAAGCTGATAAAAATTAACAGACTTTGATATATGTATCAGCCAACTTGAATGCTCCTGCATGTGCATGGTTATGCAATCAAATTTTGGATGATGTCATTAACAGTTTTAATTCAATTTTTGTATTGGCAGTGACTACCAGTATGAATGGCATAAAATAAGTAAGAATGCCTTTAATACGAAATCTGTTCAAATGGAAAATTAGAACATTCCCAAAACTAACAGAATAGTGTAATATTACATGCTCAACACCAACAAATGATTGCATTATCTTGCATAATTGAATTATAAATCCAAAATATTATTATAGCAGTTTCAAATGGACTATATGTTAATGCATTACCAACTTCTTAGCACTCTTGTATAATGTAAATTAGTGTAATATACTTATATATGTTATTTAATGCACTTGGGAGTTACATAACTATTGCTCAGCAAAAGGACAGTTAGCCACTAGTCAGAGCAAATATACGCTGACTCAATGCAATAATTTATATTATACATTTTGGAATAATTCAATTCAAGCCGTAGGAAACAGAAAATAGACACTAAAACTACAACAAACAAAACACAAGATTTGAAAAAATACCTAATACTACACTTTAAAATTACGAAATTAATGTGACATATTGGGGATGCCATAAGCTTGTTGTCTGATGTTGAATTAAAAGCACATCTGTGGTATGTATGATTAAGGTTACTTCTTGAAGAGTTCTGTCTTCTGGGATATGACGCCGTGTAGTCCGTTGAAAGTCAACGTCTGTTTTTCAGGAACGTGTCACCTACATCTTCAGGGTCACAGAACATGACAAGAAGTGCTCTGTTTTCTACCTGCTTCACGCTGGTTTCTTGCTTGATCTATTCTTCGTCGCTGAAGATGAAGGCGACATGTTCATCCGGAATGTTAGTTGAATTTCAACGGACTACATGACGTTATATCCCAGAATATAGAATTCTACATTATCTGTGAGAACCTCTAATCCTGCAAGGTTACTTCTTGTTAAAACCATCAACAATAGCCATAACAAATTCTTTTAAATTTTCAAGATTATACCAAAAGAAAGAAACATACCCACGAAGAGCATTACATATATAAATCTAATGAGGACGGAACAACTATAAATGAATAATATATTAATCAATATAACATACTTCGTGAACTAAATAAGTGAAAACATCAACAGGAGAGGGGTACAGGCTATTATAAATCGTACAAATTGCGGTGGTTGGGAAAAACAGTCTAAGTTTAAGTGAAGATATCTGTCAAGCTGAAATGTACCTGCTGGTGAAATTTAAAAGAATTTGTTGTAACAGGTGTTGTTGGTCATAGAAAAGAAGAAACCTTGAAAATCAAGGCATATTATTTAAAAATTGAGGAGACATGGTACTTCAAGTATCAAGTCTGCATATTAACGAAACTGAAGGAAATGTTGACTACTTCATATAAAACACGATGAGAAATAATTGGATATCACAATGATATTTCTTAAAATAATGATAACATTAAATAAGTCATTCACATGCATTATTAGTATATAGGGCATAGGCTGTCAGCACAACTATGTAGATAATTACACATAAATAACGCCTTATATATCTGCTTCAACTAGTCATTGCTAGGTAACAGGTATAAACAATGGCTACTCCTCTGCAAAGTTTTCCCTATCCGTTTCCTGGCAACGGATTTTAACACAGGAACTATAACTGTCATACTCCAGATAGCACTGCATTACAGCAGCACACAAAGTCTTCAGATCATACGTTAAGTCCTCACTGGCCGACTTCTAATTCTTCCTCACTTCGCACTTCCGGTGGCTGTGTCCTACCGGCAACTGACTCAGAACTGCCCTGAACTAACTTGCTTCCAAGTCCAAGTCATATTGCGACTGACGGTCAGTCAGTAAGTCTTGGTGTCGAGCTCCAGATATTTATTACTGTTGAACGTTATGGTTTTGTTTTTTGTGGGGCGCCCTCTCTGACGAGAAGACGGCTCTGTCTTTTTTACATACTACTGGGTCTTGCCAGCGTAGCCTTTCTTGGGTTTAAGTCCCTTGAGACTCGGGACCATATTTTACTCCCTCAGATTTGAGACTTCTCTCTTCGTCGCCTCCTAATACTCGCACGGTCACGGTGGAGGTATTCGACACCCTGTCAACTAACTAACTTGCTTCTGAATTCACTTATCTTATAAGTACTCTGCACAGACCCCACAGAAAGCACGGTCTGTATTTTTGATGAAGTCATCGCGTTGACTAGCTCGGTCCGATACCCAGAAACGTGATTAAAGAACCGTTGCACAAAACAGTAGTAGTTAAGTTAAGAAAACCGTAAAACAGGCTGACAGTGTAGTATGTAATAACGCCGTTATATAGAATATAGTTGCATATATGGCCTATCCCATATGTACTAGTAAAACACACAAATTCTCACATATATTGCTCTGAATGAAGGAGATTTCCTTCACCCGAACAAGTTAACAGTGTGTGGCAACCCTGTATATGTTGAGTAAAATCACACAAAGATATGTTTTATACATTTTTTTACTGCTAGTTGGGTGGGACTAAGTCCCCTGTACTGCGGCCATTTCTGGCCTATTGTACCAGCCCCAGATGATAGATAAAGGTGATTGTGGAGCAACTGGTGGAATGAAGATTGCCAGGGGAAACCGAAATACTCGGAGAAAACTTGACCCAGCGTCACTTAGTCTACCACAAATCCCACTTGACCACACCCGGGATCGAACCCGAGCCGCAGCGGTGGGAAGCCAGCGACTATACGCTTGAGCTATGGCGCGGCCTTACATTTTATACTTAATTAGATTTCCAAAATTTTTCCTAATAGGTGCTTTCTAGGAACTACAATAACATAATTATGTTATTATTTCTGATTATGTCCTAAGATTAATTTATTTTCATGAAGCATGCTCATATATGAGAGGGACATGGCAGCGAGTACTACAAATTTGGCAATCCAGTTGTTGTTATGAGGTTATGTACCTTACTGCTCTGAAATATTTTTATTATAGAAACAATAATATTAATAATAATGGAAAATACTTGGCACGTTCAAACTGAACTGTTTCGAATCCGTCCTTCATAGCCTGTTTTCAAAAGTGTGCCTTTTGGTCATAAAGCTACATTAGATAGTTTTATCAGTATTTTATAATATGAAGGATAATATTGATGTATTCTGGGATATTCGCAAGCTGCGATAATATATTTTGGTGTAACAGCTCTTATGTGCTATGTAAATTTATTATAACGTATAAATATACTTAAAAAGAATGTTTTGTTGGTTGTCTTTTATTTAATGTTCCCTCCATCATGTCCACTTTCAATTCCATGGACTAGTGGTGCAAATTTCTGATGTGGAACAACGAAGTACAGACATGCGAATATTTCAACAAAATGGCAGTAAAAGAATTTGAAGACAATGAGAGCAGAGGAGAGCTACAGTCCTACTGACTGACACTATATAATAATGATGATGGTGAATTTATCCTTCTATTTGAGTACATGGCAGCAGATTTAGAGGTCCCGGGTTCAATTACCGGAGCTACAAGATTTTCTGAGAAGTAGTGGGTCTGGAGCGGGGTCCACTCGGCATCGTGAGGATAACTGAAGAGCTATTTCAAGGAAATAGCGGCTCCGGTCTAGAAAACCGAGATTAACGGCCGCGGAAATCCGTTGAGCTGACCACGCGACACCATCTATCCGCTAGAGTTGGCACTAACTTCGCTGACAAGCGGCGATCGCTCGGCCGGTACAGTTCGTTTGCGGACTCAGGCCATGATTTTTTTTTTTTGGTATTTGATGAATCAAAGTGTGTCATAAATATCATTTCATGTATCTTGGAATTTAAGCTACCAAAGACTGCAACATACTAAAGCAATATGTAATATTACAGCGTTATACATATGCCATATTATACGTGGTGGAAACACACAGGAAGTCAAAACGTCAGAACAATACAATAATAATTTTCTGTCACTATCCTGTTATTGTTCCATACCGGTTACTAGGTGGCTATTTGACTAATTTTACTCTAACAAACAAACTGACCAACTGACGGTCAAATTTACCAAGTTAACTGACTGATCTACTAAATAAACTTCCTTAAAAACCAAGTAAAAAAATGAAGTTGCCTCTGTGCTCAATTAATTAAGAATTACGCCATGAAGACGTGGGGGGGAGTGGGGATATGTCTCAACCATTCTTCACCTCTTCACTGCATGGAGGTGATTCTTTTTTAT